GATGGAATGAAAAGTAAAGAAGCCAGGGGCTGGGCTGGTATCCATATGCTGGGCTGGGCGGTTTCACTTTTGCAGCCAGCAGGTGCCAACACAGCATCCTGCTGCCTCTCTCTGGCTTCAGGTAAGTTTTCTCCACGCTGTTTTTGATGGATTTCCTGTGTGTGTTCATTCTGGTGTGCAGTTGTTGTTTGGTCTCTCCTATGTATTTTTCATCAGGGCATTTGGTGCGTTGGATGAGATATATTACATTTTTGGAGGTGCAGCTGTAAGATCCAGGAATGCTGATGGCTCTGTTGTGGGGTGTAGTGATTGTGGGGGGGGTAGAGATGTTGGCAGGTTTTGCATTTCTTGTCATGGCATGGTGTGGTCCATTCAGTGTGTTCTGGGCCTGAGGAAGTTTGCTTCTGGTGATGAGGTTAGCGAGGTTCGGTGCTTGTTTGAAGGCTAGGATGGGTGGCTCTGGGAAGGTCTCTCTCTCTAGTATGGGTTGCAATTGTTTGAGGATTTTCCGTATGGGTTTGAGGGAGGGGTGATATGTCATAACCAGCAGTGTGTCATTTGTGGGGGGTTTTCTTCTGTACTGTATCAATTCTTAACGTGGTATCCCCATGGCTCTTTCAAATGTCCGATCTATCCCTCTGGAGGATTGTCCTTGTTGGGTGAAAGCCCCTGAGGTTGGTGAGGTGGCAATCCTAGGTGTTCTCCTCAGTGCAAATTCGGTGGTATCTGAGGGCTTGGCTGTATGTCACAGATTTTTTGGTGTGTTTAGGGTAATTGCTGGTTCTGTGCAGATATGTATGTTTGTCTGTGGATTTCTTGTATAACGTGGTCTGTATTTTATCATTCTGGATACTGATCATTGTGTCTTAAAAGTAGATGTTGGTGCTGCAGTATTCTAGAGAAAGTCGGATGGAGGGATGGTGATTGTTGAATTTCTTCTGGAACTCAATCAGACATTGGAGTTTTTCAGTCTAAATGATGAAAATGTCATCAATATATCTTAAGTATAGCAAGGGTTTGATGGTGCAGTCCTTGAGGAATTCTTCTTCCTGATGGCTCATAAAAAGGTTGGCATACTGTGGGGCCATTTTGGTGCCCATAGCTGTTCCTATCGTCTGGAGGAAGTGTTGGTTATTAAAAGTGAAATTGTTGTCTGTGAGAATGAAGTGTATAAGGTCAGTAATATCTTTGGGTCTGTACTCTGAGTTGTAATCTTGCCTCTGTAGATATGTAAGGCAGTCTTGGATGCCATCCTGGTGTGGGATGTTTGTATACAGGCTGGTAACGTCCATGGTGGCTAGGAGGGGGTTGCTGGGGAGGTGGTCTTTGTGTTTAAGTTTTCGTAGAAAGTCTGTAATGTCTTGGACAAAACTTGCTCTGTGGGTGACAAGCGGTTTTGGGATTGATTCAACAAAACCTGATATTTCCTCAGTTAGGGTCCCATGGTTGGATATGGTAGGTCTGCCAGGGTTCCCTTGTTTGTGGATTTTAGGGAGCATTAAAAAAGTCCCAGGGTTGGGTAGTGGGGGGGATCAAGGTCTGTAGTTTTTCTTGTAGTCCTGATGGAAATGATTTGATGGTGTTGTTGAGCGTCATGATGAAACCTTTTATGAAACAATGAATTTTTAGAAATGGAAAATTTCCCACAGAAAAATAAAGCACTGGAAAAATTTCCTCCCTACATCTCTGCTTATATCTTCATTCCTGGTAGACAGCATACGCTTCTCTTCTTTGAGTTGTCCTTCTGACTGGTATGTTTCTTCTCCTTGGGAGTGAATCCTCAGTAACATGAACCTGTCTTTTCCAGGTGTTTGCATCTTTCTCTGATCTTTTTCCTTTTTGGTGCATATTTTGTCTGTTGATTTGCATCTATTGATCTCTCTTGCCGTTTCTCTCGCCTTTGTGGGCTGAAATCACGTTTAGATATCACTCTGTCTTCCTTCTTTTCAGGGATGGGGATTGGCTGCTCTTTTCTTAATGCCATCCTTTTATCCTGTCTTACCTGTTTCTCCTCTTTGTCTGTCAACATACTACGCTAATTCATCAGTTCTACCTCCCCCATCAATACTTTGCCTTGTTCTCAGTCACATGCTTCCATGGCTTCCCTTTCTCTTCTAAAGATCTAGCCATCAATTCCTCAGATGGCATGTCTATGAGGCATCTCACTTGCATGCACACCCTTGTTTCTGCTTTATTCCATCACCTGCTCATATTCCCATCTGGGCTCCACCATTTGTTTTGATTTCCAGTCCTTTAGGCTTCTCCTTCATAAGCATCATCAGACAACCACATGCACAAATACCCACCATTATGGGCCAATGTAAGGATGACAAACATCCTGCAGCTTGCACAACCTGTCCTCTTAATTTCCCCATTTTGCTTGGACGTTCTTCTGTGGATGCCACAGTTGTCATTTTCTGCCCTTTAGGCTTTTAAGGCAGAAGCCTGGGAGAAAAGGCTTTTGGGAAAGAACAAAACCAAAACACAACTCACAAACACCACACCACATTCCTGGCAATCCATCCTAGTTATTGGCTTCCAGTGTTCACTGGCAATCCAACTTTTATAGTTTAGGTTAGCCCTGCACTTCCTAGTTAAGCTTAGTTGGGGAAGGTGTTAAACACCTGCTGCTGAACACAAGCCCTAGCCCATGGGCGACTGGTGCCTTCTGAGTCAGGGGGGCACTTGCCCACCCCCCAGTGGCCAGTCAGTGACCAGTGGGGGGGTCTGGCCCTTCTGAGCCGGTATGATCATTCACAGGTGATCCGCCCCCCCCACCCCCCATTGGCACAATCGGCCGTGAGGGGACCACAGGGATCGCTTCTCCTGGCACCCCCACTACCCAGCCAGCACTCTAAGGGGGGGGGGGGGGGGGGCGCACCAGTGCTCTCGCCTGCCCCCTCCCGCCCATCGCCTAAGCAGGGAATGCCACTGTCAGGGGATGCACCAGCGCTGTCAGGGGGTGCATGTGCACCCTCTATGCATCGCCACTGCCCTAGCCCACACTCACATGCACAGGGGTTCCCACAAAATACAGAAATCAAGTGTCAGACAGTTAGACACATGCATTCAGTGCCTCTGAATGACAGAGACTGGTCCTTTCTCAAGAAATGCATCTGTCTCTAAAATTCCAGTTTATTGCTCTATTTGCTAACACTAACTGGTCACTGACAGGCAAGACAGAGAAAACTGGATGCTTATGTTCCTAATGTACAGGCCATTTTTATTTAGCCAGAGGGGAATCTCCATTAACTATTAACAGTGCAAAGGCCATGTCACACCAATTAATATTTTCTCAAATCCAAGATAAGTTTTTAACAAGCAGGCAGAAGAGCAAGAGGTCAAGCCCTGAGGGGAAGCGGGATGGTGGGGTGGGTAAAGTGCCAGGGTGTATAGGCATGGAGGGGTAAGTAGCAGAAGGGCAGGTGCCAGTTGGGAGGCATCAGGGGGAGTAAGTTGAGGGGCCAGGGGGCAAGGTATGGGGGTCGAGGGGCAGGGGTGAAGCTGCTTGACTCCGCACCCCCTGCCTGCCCCCTGCCAGTGCTTTCCCCACTGCAGCAGTGGGAGTATGAGTTCAAGATGGCCCTCTAGTAATTAGAATCCGTACATGGAAAATTATAACAAATTTATAAGTTTTCTGTGTATAGAATCTGATTACTGGAGGGTCATCTTAAATTCAGGGTTATCTTCAGTAAATACAGTAGTTCTAACTTCATCCAGTAGGGGGCAGAGATCTATAGCCTTTTTAGTTTAGATTGTTTTTGCTTACATTCTCAAAACTAATCAGGAAGGAGGGCTTTTTGTGATATCTTTTATTGAACCAGCTGTATGGTTGGTAGATACATTAGATAAGTTTTTGGGCACAAACTGGAATGGTACTTTGTGCCTGAAAGCTTGCCTACTGGCTCTCCCCACTATGCAGTTGGTCCAGTAAAAGATGTCACATGAAACCCTTGGCAGACAAGGTTCTTTGGGTGAATCTGATATCTTTTATTAGACCAACTTAAATAGTTGCAAAACAATTATTAAGCAAGCTTTTGGGTTCAAAAACCCTTCATCAGGCTAAGGAAGTTTCTGCAGTTGGTGTGTGCTCTTCTTGGATGGAATGAAAAGTAAAGAAGCCAGAGGCTGGGCTGGTCTGCATACAATGTAGTTTTCACTGACTACCTGTCTTGTATGCATACCAGCCCAGCCTCTGGCTTCTTTACGTTTCATTCCATCCAGGAAGAGCACACACCAACTGCTGAAACTTCCTTAGCCTGACGAAGGGTTTTTGAACCCAAAAGCTTGCTTAATAATTGTTTTCCAACTATTTAAGTTGGTCTAATAAAAGATATCAGATTCACCCAAAGAACCTTGTCTGCCTGTGTTCTTAGACCAGCATGGCTACAACCTACACCCCTGTTACATAAAACCCTTGCTACTTCTACCTTTCCTGGACCATCATGGCTACAGCAGCACTCTAACACCATCAGAACTAACCAGTGATTTGGCGGGCCATTGTTAGACACTGCAAAGAGAGCAGATTCCAGCTTGTCTGAACTAGGCCCCCCAAATCACTAGTTACTTTTGAAAACACAAGTCTGGTTTTGAGTTACTTCCTCTGCTATTTTTGCAGTGGCCCTTTCCCAGCATCTGTGCCCAGTGTCTTCGGAGCAAGGCAGATACCTGGCTGTACATAGATTGACTAGGGCCATAGATAGACCAGCAATCATAATCATCAGCAAAGGCTGAACTAAGGGGCTTCTGTTCCAAAGGTAGGCACCTAAAACGTGAGTTAAAGAGAAACTCCTGCAGGTGGGAGTGACTAGCAGGCTCTTGCATGTGCAGATGACATGATTGCGTGTACTTAGTTCCTTGCAGTGCAGCACCTTCCTCTCAGCTGTGACAGAAAAAAGGTGCAGAGGAGTGGCACAGAGAGTCTTCCAAGAGCTATGTGCCCCAAGGGACACATAGAGGAAGCTGCTAACCCTGCTTACTGCTATGCTTTTGTGTTTTAGGGCCAGGCACAATGACTGATACAGAGCTGGACAATGGCAGTGCTGCCCTTGAAGACCAGAGGGAGGAAAATGCTGAATTCAGTAAGGACACAGCCTGTGCACAGGGGTTTGCTCTGTTCTGTATGCTGATACTGACTTCCCTTGTGTCAGACAGCATGTGATTCTGGATGCCATCACCACTGCTCACTCTCACCTCCCCAACGCAAAATTAACGCTCGGAGTGATAGACTGGTGAAGACTGGGATGAGGACTTTTCTGGCTTGTTTTAATTCTGTTTCCTTAAATTTCCTTAAATCAGGGGTGTCCGACTCATCTGGCTCTGTGGGATTCAGGATTTGTGATCTTGATCTGGCCTGTGGACCAGCCCTGCACCATGTGGGCGAGATGAGTGGTGCAGAGCTAGTCCACGGGCCAGATCAGGATCACGAATTCCACCCCCATCCCCCACCTCTCCACCTGCATGCCAGATCCAGCACAAGCAGCACAGCCTGGGACCAGCCCAAGCAAGAACCATGGGCTGTGCATCCCTCAGGGACTGGCCTCAGTATGTGTCATAGCCTAGGACCCAGCCTGAGCAAACACTGTGGGAAACACACATCCCAGGCACTGTGTGTGGGGTGGTCTAGTGTAGCAAAAGGGGCAGCTCCAGGGGCCAGATGGCAGGGCTCCATGGGCTGGATGCATCCCACGGGCCATATGTTTGATGCTCTTGCCTTAAATGAACTTGCCATGAGAAAAGTCCAGAGGGCAACTTCAGGGACTGAAATGCTCTTAGCCCTCCTTAGACAACAGAGCAAGCTTTCTTCCCACAGTACCTTGTAATTAGCCATTGGAGGGGCCAGCTGAGGGCAGAGCTTACTCAGCACAGCCCCTCTTCTAAATCTGAAAAGGCGCAGAACTTGTTAAAAATGAAGAGTGGGTGCTTCAGGTACTTTTGAATGGTTTTATTCTTCACTTCATCTCACATGTACAGAACTCACCTGTAAGTGCATGTACATGCATGCACGCATTCACAAACCTGCCAGTAAACATGAACGTTCTTGTCAGCAGGCACACATAGACACCCCGGGTGGCTTGCAGTGTACATGCATACTCTAACTGGTGACACACTGTGCTGCCCCCTCTTAAGTCTCCCATTAAGTTCCTGGCACTTTTCAGTGATGCCTTACAACATCTCATCCCATGCAGCGTCTCATTGACCACTTTTGTGAGTCAACTGTCCTGCTAATCTTGTTCCTGGAACGACTGGGAATTAGGTGTCTCAATCCAGCAGCTCATTGTTGAAGTCCTGGAGTGCTGTATCACTGAATACTATTCGTGATTTGGAAGCACTAGGTCCCTGTCCCAAAGAACTGACAGTCTTAATATCAACCCATGAGTGGTGGCAGATGGAACATGATGCCTGGACAGCATGTCTCACAAGCAGGCTGCTGGATGTGCACAGTGCATCACAGCTTACTTATCCCAAAGCAACAGCAAGGAGGATCACTGAGGTTCACCATCCAGTGGGAAGGAAGGGTGTTCTCACACTCAGTGCACCTTTCTGAATAGGTTGGCAAGAGAGCCATGTCATTTCAGTCCCTTGACTTAGCATCCCCTTACACCTCATAAGTGTGTCACCTAACAATTAGCAGCCAGTTAAAGTCCCACCTGCCTCTAGGGTGAATTCCACTGAACACGCCTATCCTTCTCCATAGAACAGATGGGCCTCCAGGCTGAGTCTTGTCAGTGTTTATTACACAAGGTTTCATGAGTACTAATGGAAATGTGTAACCACCCCACAGACACAGAGGAGACAAAGCAGCAGCCATCCCATTCTGCGACTGCAAGAGCTTGGGAAAAGGACTACTGCGATTACCTCTTGGACTCTATTGATGCTCAGCTCAGCCAGCTGGAGGTATGTGGGGAGGGGACAGGCAAGGGATGGAAATCTAGTTATAGATCAGAAGGGGATGAACAATAACAAGTGGGAGGGGTTAGTCCCAGGTACTGTTGGGGTACCAAGTGTGCAGGATCTGGCCACCTCTCTGGCATAGTCCACATTGGAGAACCTGGCCACAGGGCAGGGAAAGCACCTCTGTCTGGAATGGCATTAACACCATGTAGGGTCTCTACAGTGCACTGGATCTGCTATGAATGCCTTCCCTTCATGCACACATTTCATGTCCTTTCCTGGATCCTGAGTAACCAACTGAGGGGTGCATGACAGTTCTTCCATAGCCTGTTTCTTCCCCATCTGCAGTGGCAGGGCTCTGGAGCAAGAGTTACATGCACCAGCCCAGAAGTGGAGCATACCTCCCTGGAGTGTTCACCTGATGCCCCACCTGTGGCAGGGGAGGAAGTGATGTGAGAAAAGTGATGCCAAATGAGTCTTTGCCTAGTAAGACATGGAGAGCAGCTATTGGTGGTCCCAAATGAAGTGGGGACCCCATTGCATGAGGCTCTTGATCCACACTAGAAGAAATGGGCCCTACCAAAAGAGTGTTTGATCTAATTAGACAAGACAAAGCTTCGGAGTAATGAGGAAAGGACAAACAAATTCTCATAGCAGCTTCAAAAGGGGAGGATGAGCTGTTGTTCAGGACTGCGCAGCAGCAACTATTTGGTAACAGTTTTGTGTGCATGAGCCTGTTACATACAAGTGAGGTAAATCACCCTGACTTTGACCCTGGATAAAATGTTTGAGGTAAAGCAGTTTTGCTGCATTTGTAGGGCTACAGGCTGCTCCACATCTGAGTTAAATTTAGCAAACAGCACATCATAAACCCGGAAAACAGAAGAAGCTGCAAGAAACACTCACTCCATAAACTAGCAAGGAAACCATAATGCGGTGATCACCAGGTTCAGTAAACACAAGCATACATGAATGAGAAGAACTAAACAATAAACTTTATTGTGGAGTAGTAGACAACCTCTGTAGAACCTTGCCTGTCTCTGACTAACTAGCTTAACTGAGCCACCATCTTCCAGTTCCCAACCTCTGAAATCCAAGTAAGGGATCAACTCCAAACTACAACCTGAGTCACTACACTCAGATGGCAGAAAGTAGTTCTGTGTAAAAGATATTAGAGCACAGCCACAATTCTCTTAGAAGCTACCAAAAAGGGACAGAATTCTACTGTTGGCTCCCTGCCAAGTGGAGACAGGGTATCAAATGAACATTAAAATGACAAATAGGAATACAAGGCTGATCAGCCTGATTCAGGTCCATGCACTGCAGTGTTTTTTCTCTGACCATGGCCATGTGGCCAGCACCAGGTACTTCCAAGAAAGGTTTGAAAAATCCTGCAACAGGAAGCTGCCATAGTATACAGGCCTGGCAAAAGAACAAAGGTCATTGGAGCAGCACAATCCCTGGTGCATGGCAGTGGAGGGGCCTAGGTTCTGTTCCTACACTGGGATTGTTCTGGGACCTTGGGCAAATGTCTGTGCCTCACTTTCTCCATTTGCTAGTTGGGGATAATGGTAGACACCATCTTTTTTAAAGTGGTTTGAGATCTACAATTGAACAGAACAGGACTCTGAAAACCTCTGCCATAGCCTTGAATTACTCTGTGGGGAAACAGAGGCAAGCCTTTACAGCTTATTAAGTAGCGTTGAGCTGATACTGGTGCCGTGAGAGGCAAGAATGTTTGTAGGTGATATCTTTTATTGGACCAACTCTGGTTGGGAGAGACACAGACAAGCTTTCACATATCAGAGTACTTGATGCCCAAAGCTTGCCTGTCTCTCCAAACATTGAGTTGGTCCAATAAAAGATATCACCCACAAGAATTCTTGCCTCCAGCTTATTAACTTGTTTAAAAAATCAGTTTCTCTTTTGTGCCTAGCTGCTTGGACCTGAGTTCCAGGAGGGGTTTTTACCTTGTGCAGTTGAACATTGCTAGCGTGCTTTAAATAGAGCAGTTGGCCCATACATTGTGCTAGTTCTAAGCCTCCCAGCCAGATGGAGATTCTTGTTCTGGTTCCCCAGCTCCATTTCCTGTTGATTTGTGCTGGAAAGGTGAGCACACTCATCTGTATTAATTCTGATTAGAGGAAGAACTCACTGCTCCTTATTTACTTCTCCCCTCTATGCAGAGATGAAAGGATGCTATGGAGCTAAGGATATCATCTCCTTGGGTGAAGTTGGTTCCTCTCAGAAAGATGAATACAGCTGGAGGATGAGGAACCTCCTTGGCTCTGAGCAGACCCCAGAAAATCTGAACTACCAGAGTGACTCTAATTCCATTTGTACAGAGGACTTTGCCACCAGGTTTGAGGAAGGCATGGTCGACCCTCTAGTGAATTTTGATGAGGAAGGTGATGTGCTTGCTTTTGACTTCTCAACTGAGGACTCCACTGGGGAGGGAACTGCTGTAGGAATGACAGCAGGAAGCACTGGTCCTTCTTTCTGTGCGAAGGAATGTGAAGGCACATTGGAGGTTCTCACAAGCCATAGGCAAAGAAAGCAGGAGTACCTGCAGCAACCTAAGGAGGAGTTGGAAGATGACTTATTGGTGGCTTCAACTAGTGGTGTGGAAAGGCCCCAATTTGTAAGCATTAGGAACAGGAGAGAGAGCCTGGAGTCTTTAGGAGGAAGGATATCCAGGCTGAGCCAGAGCAATACCATGCACACATCAAGCAGCATGGGCACAGAGAGGGCCAGCTCCACAGGTATTTGGGCCTGTGGTCATTTGACCCTGGAATTGGTGAGGACCCCTGAAGAAAGTGCTTCATGGCCCACAGTGCAAGGGAGTGAAGGCCTGGAGGATTCATCCAGATGGGCTCAGCCTCTCTCTGGAAGGAGCAGGTTGCTGCTTGAAGAGCTGAGTCCTGGACAGCTGTTCAAGGCTCTAGATGTCTCTGCCAGCCACACCAGGTCCTGGGATGGAAGAACAGCTCAGAGTCTATGCACAAGAAGACAGGCAGAACATCGGCACTTCTCCCCAGATCACCCTTCTCACACCACCACACTCACATCCACCTCCAATGGCTCTTCCATAGCCTCTGAAGGGCAGATCAGATCTCAGCTCATAACCCTCCTGCAGACCAGTCAAGGGCTATCCCCTGAGCTAGGGAAGCCCATGGAACAATGGTCAGCATTGCAAGGCTCAGCTGTGAACAACCATTTGTCTAGTAGACCTGTAAGTGCCCAGATGCCCACAGGTAAAGCCAAAGACAGCTGTGCTCCAACACAGGATAGGTCTTGGGAGGTGAACTCTCTCTCTACAGTCAGTCGACAAGATCCCAGAACAGATACAGAACTGACACAGCAGGAGGTGGTGACTCCCCCACGACAGTCTGGAAAGGACATTGCTTATGCGGTGGATAGTGATGGCATAGAAGAAGTTTGGGCTAGCTCTGAGCTAGAGCATCAGCCAGCAGAGAGGAGAGCTTGCTATCTGAATCCTTGTAAGTCTGGAGCACGGTGCTGCAATTGTGGTGGGGTTGTGTAGCAGGACCAGGACCCCAGGGGCAGCTATAACACACCGCCGGTGGCCATGCGGCTCCTGCCCTGCTTTGGCTCCCTGGTTATACTCCCTCTTCCCTTGTCTGCCATGCCTTTGTTGGAATAATTTGAATGTGACAAAGGGAGGCTGCCCCAGGGTCCTGAAGTGAGTTTTTGTCTGTGTTTGGCCAACGGGTCCTTCCCAAACCCCACTGCACCCAGTCCTGTCCAATGCCAAGCAGGTCCTCGTGGCCCATCTGTGCCCCTACAACATCTGTTGCTTTGAGGGTTATTTGTGGTGTCCTTCCACCCCTACATCCATGCCCATGCCTCACAGATGTTCACGGTAAATTGCTTCAGTGGGCACCTGGCCTCCAATATGCTGCCAGGTCTCCATGCCCTTGTCAGGGCTTTGGCATTCCCAGGCACCACCTCTTTCCTCTAGCCACCCTTCCCTTAGCCTAGGCCCACTGTGTTAGATCTGGCTTAAGGGCTCCAGACCCTGTTTTGCCCTGTCTCTGGCTTTGGGCCCCTGCCCCTGTTTCCTGCCCCTCAGGTTCTGGGCCCTTGGCTGTAGTTTCACCCATCTTGGGCACTGGTCCTAGTCTTCTCAGACTCAGATCATGAAAGGGAGGGAGTGTTGGTGTGGATGTAGAGCATTGGTTGAGGGCATAGGGAGGTGTGGGAATGGACTGTGGGGAGCAGATGCTGGAATAGTACCTTTGAGGTAAGATGCCAAAGGCAGTTATAGACTGGCTCCCCAGGGCTCTGACAAAAGCCTCTGGGGAATGCTGCTTTCCCAGTGATCATTGGCCATGTTGCTAATGCAGGCAGAACGTGGCCTCTCAGAATATGGCCTGTCTGTACAGGGTAAATACCGTTCCTTTGGCAAAGGCACACGCATACAAATCTGTGTTGTGTGATCCCAGTAGAGACTGAAACAAACATGGCAGTTTGTTCTCATCATCCATTTGACACCATCATTTACTGCCGGGGCACCACTGGGTTTTTTTGCGAAGCAATGGATTGAACTGGATGGAAAAATAAATCAATAGTGATAAAGGACTAGGACTACAGTGAGCAGTAGGGTGGGAGGTATTGGATGGAAGAGAGGGTGAGGTTCCCCACAGCAGTGTCGGGGCTGAGCAGGGCCTGTGGGCTGGGGGACATAATGTGGAGAAGGCTTTGCTAAAACCTGATTTTCCATTTGGGGAGCCAAAAAAGTTCCCAGAGAGGCTTCATCCATTCTCCTTGCTTTTCCCCTGCCTTCACTGCCACCTCCACTCCTACCCCCATTTTGTAATGAAACAAACAGACAAAAAATATCTGGTTGAATGCAAATTAAGCAAAGCTGAACTTCACTAGCTGCCTGAGGTGAAGGCCATGTGGACCCTAGTGGTTAGAGCACTCTCAGGGCTTAGACAGACATTTCTTTTCTTGTGCTTTATCCACTGTTGCAGCATGACCCGAAGCCTGCACCCACGTGTTCAGGCTTTTTGTCCCAATTAAAAAAATGGTTGATCTGGCCCCCAAAAGTCAGATCTGCAACAAAAAAGCTGATGCTTAAAACAGCAGCAGCTTTATTGTGGGAAGGTTTTCCATGATGAAGTTAACATGTGGATAGGTATTCCTGTTCACTAATATCCTGTGGACCCCTGCTCTCCCTGCCTCTTTCCAAGGAGAGGGAGCATCAGTGGGTGGCTGGTTCCCTGATAGCCTGCTTAGCAGCGAACTGTCTGGCCAGAACACTACCCACTGCATGGTCCTACCGATCAGCTGCTTGGGGTGGCTTTGTCACTGATCTGAGGGCTGCCCCTGCTTGGTCCTGCTGATCTGGCAGGACTGGGCAGTAGGGGGCTGTAGGAGTGGCATGGCCAACTGGCTATGTGACTGTCTTTGTCTGATGTTCTGGAGGATTTGTCCCATACCTGGGGCTGTCCCTTCCTTGGTTCTACCTATTAACTGAAGAGTGGCCCCTCTCATCCCCCTCTCCCCTAGCTAGAGAGCATACTTTTGTGGCATCTTTGGATGGTGTCACATGTTCAACTTAACACTAAGTGCTAAGTTAACACATGAGCTGCTGGGTATTCAAGTGGTTTAGCACATGCTAAGTGCCCTCATAGTGTTGCAAAGTTGTTCCCTTTCAGGTGAGGGTCATCTCCTAACACAAACTTACTTTCATAGAATCACAGAATCACAGAGAAGCAGGGCTGAAAGGGACCTTCAGAGGTCATCCAGTCTAACTGCCCTGCCTGAGGCAGGATCAGCCCTATCCAAACCGTCCCATACAAACCATAATCTAAACCCTACATAAGATTGCAACAACCCTGACCCAAGATGGACCTAACACTCTAACCTGCCCCAGGTAAAGCAGGGAAACCATAGCAGCCAATGTCCTGCTTCTATGAAATGTTGTCAGTATACACCCAAGAGGTCCTGAGTAGAGGGACCATCCCCCCTGTGACATAGGGAGGCAAACCCCACAGTCCATACCAACCTGACCATGGGGTAAAATTCCTTCCTTCCTTCCTGACTCCAGATATGGTATTTGGTCTGACCCTGAGTGGAGGGGCAAAACCCATTAGCCAGGAACCTCTGGCCTTGGTCCCAGGAGGAGCTTTGGCACACCCCAGTCAAAGTCCCCAGCCTTGGCTGTAGCCAACACCTAATGCCTCTGGGAAGCCATAAAACCACCTTGACATATATAGCAGAAAAGGGTGGGGGGGTCGGCAGAGGCAACAAGCAAAGCCAAGAAACGTGGGAAAGACCCATGTAGAACATAAGCATAGCTATGCCTAAATCAATGATACCCAAACTTTTTGCCCAGCGGGCTTGATTGGCATTGCGCAGTCCATCTGCAGGGTGGATTCACCCAGTGCTTCTAATCCAGTGCCTGGCAGGCATGAGAGGCACCATCTAGCCATGCAGAGGGAGGGGAAGGTGAGGGGCCAGGCTGGCCCCAATGCAACCCTACAGGGAAAAAGAGCTTGACTCCACCCCATGGAGAGAAAAGGGATGTGGCCTGGCCCTGAAGACAAAGTGGGGTATGGGTCAGCCCCAAGAAGTCGATGTGGCCTGGCCCTGCAGGGAAAGGGGGGCATGGCCAGGCCCCAGCACTGCCAGCAGAGGGGGGAAGGGGGCGTGGCCCATTGGGGGTGTGGCAAAGCACCAGTGACAGGGAAAGGGGTGTGGCGAAACCCTGTGAGGGAAGGGGGTATTGCCAGGCCCCAGCCCACTCCAGTGGGGAGGGAAAGGGGCATGGCCCCATCCTGATCCAGAAGCAGGGGGCTTGGGAGGGGGCCTAGCTTGGTACCAACTGGCCACTCAGGGATTGGGCTTTGGGGATTTGACAGGGGCAGAGTGGCCATATTAATAGCCACTGCTTCCCTGCTGCCAAATTTCCAGACCTGTGGGGAGCCCTGCAGGCCAGATGCAATGGTTGCACAAACTGTATTTGGCCTGCAGACTGGAGGTTGAGCACCCCTGCCCTAAGCAGTTTATTCCACTGCCTCACTGTTCTAACAGTGAAGTTTTTTTTGGATGTTCAATCTAAACTTACTTTGCTGCAGCTTTAAGCCATTAGTCCATAGCCTCCTCTCTGCAGCAAGAAAGAGGAGGTGCTTTTCCTCTTTTTTATGTCAGCTCTTCAAGTATTTGAAGAATATGAACACAGGTGTCATGTCCCCCTCGGAGGCATCTTTTCCACAAACTGAACATGCCTCAGCCTCTCCTAATATCACTTGCCTTTTAGCCCTTGATCATCTTTGTTGCCTACCTTTGGACCCCCTCTAATTTTACCAGGTTATTACATTCCAATAACCTGCAACTGTTGCAAATACACATTTGAAAAGGCCCTTCACTGCACTCCAGCCAAGGGGTTGTGCACGTGTGCCTACCCATATCGCTCTCTTTTCTGAAATACTACAGCTTGGCAGGACTGCAGAAATAACACCTACCTAAGCACTGTACTCTGCCAGAAGGGACTTTTGGAAGCCATGGCTTACATGTCAGTCCTAACAAGCAGGCTCAAAGACTTATTATGTCTCTTTTTGGATTAATTAATATGTACATAGGCTATATGAATTAGAAAAACTTGAACATTAGGACTGTGCAAAGCTTCGGGTGCTAATTCGATTCGGAGGAGATTCAGCCCAATTGAGCAGCCAAATCTCTGAATCTGACTCAAATAAGGAGACCAATAAAAGGTCCGAATCAATTCAAAGCTCTCCGAATCGATTCAGAAACGATTCAGAGAGTTTTGGAGATTCAGGAAGTCTGTGCTTGCCACCGCAGGGAGCTGGACTTGGACTTTGTACTGGTAAGTAGGGGGGGGGGGAGGGGGGCGGAGGAGGGGAGAGGGGACCCTGGTGGGCAGCCATGGGGGGCTGGGAGAGCAGGCGAGGGATAGGGATTCGTGACAGACCTCCCGCAGCAGCGCGGGACAGTGGGGCAGCGGGGACCTCCTCCCTGGCAGGAGCCAGTGAGGTTGGGGCTTTTTTTTTTTATTTAAAGAGTGGGGATCTGGTGCCAGGTGGGGCAGCCATTGACAGCACTGGGAGAGTGGGTGGGGGATGGGACCTGTCCAATTCAGAGATTTGGCCAATTTGACAGTGGCTGAATCTCCAAATCAGATTCGGCTGAATTGATTTGGGACAGTGATTTGAATAACCGAATCGAATCACTCTCCCCCGAATTGCCTGAATCCAAAGCAAATACTAGCCACTTCGCACAGGCCTATTGAACACGAGAAAGAGTATACACTTGAACCCGTGTTCTACCTTGATGACTAGGATGCTTTCTTGGGGGATGGGTGTGAATTCAGATTCTTTCAGGGAAAAGAAAGAAGTAAACTTGGATACCCCACATTCTGAATGAATACCTTGAATACCCAGCTACTGCGTGGAAGAATACTTTTTCCATCAGTTCTATGAAAATGGTTTTGAAAAGCTTTTTCAAAACATAACTATTTGGTGAATTAACCCAAATTTGGCAATAGTTTTGGAACAACTTAAACCTTTTAAAAACAAACAAACAAACAAAAAAAGCTATTTTCCCACAAAATGTCATCCAGCATTAGCTGTGGGTAATTTAAATGAGGGAGGCACAGGAAGCCATGCTCTTCCACTGTGTGCTGCCAGCTATTCAGCCTGGTATGAAGGGAGACAAGGCATGTCCCAGACATGTCCCCAACTCTTAGCACCAAATAGGCTTTCAGCTGGGAATTGTTCTTGTGCTCAGGACAGTGCAAAGACAGTGCCTGTGACTGGCCATTGCCTGATGGGTGCATGGCAGGTCTCTGTGCGCCTCTGTGGTTTGTAGTCAATAGCGCATCTAATGCTGGAGGAGCAGGGTCTGTCTCGGAGTGAGGTCACACAACACAGTGTCTGTCTGGGTGGTGCTACATAGGGCAGACCATAGAGTTGAGGAGCAGGGAAGAAGAGTTTGCCCTGGGGGACTGAGGAAGGAAGATGAAGGATTCAGGGGGAATTTGCAGCTGGAGGATGATGACAGGCCCCATAACCTAGCTGTCTCCAATTCAAGAAGTAGGGGCATCCCTTGCCAATAAGGAGGACTAACAGACACTGGGTACAGAAGAACAGGACTTTAGTCCCTATACATCCCTCCCCTGCCCCATGCTAGCCATTGAGTCCCATTGACGTTCCCTGTTCATGGCTGCAGGGGAAGCCTCCAGGCCCTACCAGTCCCCAGCACAATGTTTCTGCTTAGCCTGAAGTAAGTGAACCATGCAAATGGTGGCCAAGCACATGACTGCGGCCTGTTGATGCTAGTGGGCGAGGGACCTGTGAATGCTGCTGGCTGTTGGTGTATGCCGCGTGTTGCCAATAGTTCTATCCGCTGCCTGACATGACCAATAAAGTGCCCCCAAGGGGACCTCCATTCACCTGCTCCCACTCTCATCCTTGGTTTAGGTCCTGACTCAGACACCAGAGTCCCTAAGAGTTGTGGCCTGAACTTGGCTCCAGACAGTAGTTCTTCAGTGCCCAACAAAGACAAGCATGTGGCTGGTAAGAGAAGCTGTTTGCTGGTTGATGCCTTCCGGGGAAAGAACTGGATACTGATCTGTTCTTTGAGCTTGCCCTGCCTGGGTTCTTTGCCTTCCTATTTGTCTCTGTCTTCTCCTCAGTGTCCCCCTGCCTGCATGTCCTCCTCTAGAGAGATGATGACTCCCCTTGTCTCTGCAGGAATAAATTCTGGAAACTTGCGGGGGGAAGGAATAAATTACAGGTGCTGGAGGGAAGAGCAGAACCTCTTTTAGGATTGTGTCCTTGTTGCGGTTGGAAGCAAAGGGAGTTACTCCTCCCATCACCAGTAGTTGGGGCATTGGAGGACAGGCATCCAGTTTGGGGGTGAGTTTAGTCCAGTGTCTTTCACATGCCCCATTCACTCTCTTCCATGCATCACCTTCACCAGGTGATCCATTGTTGACAGTAACCTGGACTCAGTGAAGACAGCAAAAGACCAGGCTGACATCCTCAAGGCTGTCAACCACCAAAGAGGTATAGCCCCAACACCCAGCCCAGCCGCTGCCCCCAGAGAGCTCTGGGATACTGCCAGTGAAAAAAGAGAGAAGGATCCTTCTTCCCTTCTGCCTTCTCCTAACTCCTCCCTCTCACTGTATCCTCATGCCTTGCTCCAGTCTCCTCTCTCTGGTTTTCTAGGCAATTGAACCATGTTGGAGGGGTAAGGAGGTGGAATTGCCCATAGTGGTCACACTGGCACCACTCTTCCATTTCCATCCACACCCAGAGGTGACCATTAGTGTTAGTCACTTCTTCCCATGGAGCACACCTTGATTCATCACCTTGTTCTGAGCCTGGAACATGTGTCCGTTGCCATTTAGGACCGCATCTCCTGTAGGTGCCCTACTACCACTGTTCTTGCTGCATTAAGTTACAAAACTTGACAGCAGTGACCACAGTGTAAAGTTGACATGGCTGAGCTAGCTTTAAACTACCTGGGTCAGGAACCAGTAGCAGTCTAGCTGTGGCAGCACAGAGCTCAGTATAGGCTGTAAAACTACTTGAGAAGCAGGGTAAATAAAACCATGCTGAACTTTGTGCTACTGTAGCTAGATTGCTACCAGTACCCACGCTAGTTAATTCCAAGCTGCTGTGATTTCAGGGAAGAGAAACCTGTTATCTTGTTGTTTGCTTGCACTCCCCTGTCTGAATCCATCTATTGTCTCTAGTCTTATACTTTGGTCTGGTCACATCAACAGGGTAAGTTAGGGTATGAAGTTGTAGTATATCATCTACTGCATAGTAAGTGCTTATGTGCATATACTTCTCAAGTGGTAAATGAGATGTAGCTTGTTTCACTTTCTTCACATGCACACTGGTCTGTTACCAAGGGGTAGCTGATGTCCTGTAAGCTCTCCCCCACCTTCACTGTGTGGTAACTTGTTCATTTGCTGGTGTGTCTAGATTGTAAGCTCTTTGGGACAGCTCTGTTGTTTTGTTCCATGTTTGGGCAGCACCTAGCTCAATGGAATTTTGCTTTCTCCAATATTTTTTCCTTTCTCCAAATAGTTCCTGACTACAACAGCAATACGCTTCATTGGCCCCTGGGGAACTCATTGGGGTAAGTGCTAACAAAAACCTGCTTATTAGCCCAGTGTCTTGGTGATGATACAGAGTGACCACATTCATGTAAAGACATGACATGTAAAGAGTATTCAGGTTGTAGCCGTGTTGACCTAGAGGCAGAGGGAATCAGAACTTGTGGTAGAGGCGATATCTTTTATTAGACTAACCAGATTTTTGCAAAAAAAGTTCTTTAATTGCAAGTTTTCAGGCACAAGCACCCATCTTCAGGCATAGGAGAAAAGATTGTAAAAGTTCTTCTGGGTAGAAATAGAAGTTCATATTTCACAGGAGAGTTGAAGGTGTGGTAAAATATCCTGATTGGAACAGTTCATTTTATGCAGATTAAGCTCAGAGAAAAGTTGAAGTAGTCTGTTTACCTCAACGGTGTTTGGTGGCAAGCAGAATGTAGAGTCATATTTCCTTCTGGTTATGATGTATCATATTTCACATAAGAGTAAAAGGATGGAATGCTCTTCTGGGCAGGAATTCCTTATGTGATGAAGTATCTCTGAGCTCTGCGATAATGCAACCTCGAACAAAGGCAGGAACCAGGGCTTAGGTTTCAGGTGGTAAAACTTGCTTCCTCCTTGTAAAATTATGAAGATTTAATTTTAAAAATCGGCTAAAATTTGATATCTTCCATGTGTCAGGTATCCAGGTTGTAGCTGTATTGGTCTAGCCTGAAAGCTTGCAAATAAAGAATTTTTTTTTCAAAAATCTAGTTGGTCTAATAAAAGATATCACCTCTACCATAAGTTCTGATTCCTTTTGACATGTAAAGACACATTAATGTAAAATGCATCCATCATTTCACTTTGACTTACGCTGATCATGGTTCTGCACCCTGCCACAAGGCCTTGTCTCAAGCACCAGGACTAGAGCAAAGAAGCTAATCCCCTGCTCTGCAATCCTGAGTATCTCTACTGGTGCAGACACCCAGCACTGCCAGAGACACTGTAACCTCCTCTAGAGGTTAGAATGGGGAGTAAAGAGCTTCTGCCATATTTTTTGAAATATGTGGCTGGGGATATATAGCAGCTTGCATGAGCCATGAGTACTGATGTGAATCATATTTTAAATGGTCATGAGGTACTGACACAGACCAAGATGGAACCTGTCAAGGATTCCCCTGCTTTCAAATCCTTGATGTAGTTCCATCCAGGTATCCATCATCTGCTCTTGATTGTTTCAGATGATCCTTGGTTGAGGCACATGCCATGCACAAATCCACTTGGCCTTGATGCTTTTCCCTTGACCTTAGAACATGGATCTTGTGCAGTACAGGTGTTTGGATAAGAACATAGGAACTGCCATTTATTGGGTGAGACCACAGGTCCTTTTTGTCAAGTACCCTGTAGGCCTGTGCGAGTAGGCAGCTCTTTGATCCGACTTCACCCTGCACGTTTCATCCGAATTGGACAAAACACAAGAAAGTTATAGATATTTCATTGATTCCCCATTATACCCTATGCCCAGATCTCCGAAGCAGCTCTGAAGCTTTTCTGAAGCAATTCAGCAGCTCCGATCTGCTTCAGAAAGCCTAAAGAGGCCTGCGCTTCGATCCGGACATGCTGCTTTGGACACTGAAGCATCCGAAGCTTCTCCAGATCTGAAGCACGGTCCAAAGCCTCTCACAGCCCTAGTATCCTGCATCATAGTAACTGAGGGTGAATGCTGAAAGGGAGAGTGAACAGGGTGTGATCAGGGTTTTTCTCTTGTTCCTCTCTCACTTACATCCTCCAGCATTTAAGGAAGTTCTGATTCTATACCCCTAACTCCCATGCTCAATAGTTACTGATGCACATTTCCTCCAAGAATTTGTCCAGTCCCTTTTTGAATGTGGTTAAACTGTCAGTTTCCACAACATCTGGTGACAATGAGTTCCACACTGTAATTACATGCTGTGTGAAAAAGAACTTTATTTTGTTTTAAACTCTCTACCTGCTAGTTTCATTTTATTACCCCTAGTTCTTGTATTGTGAGACACAATAATATTCCCTATTTATTTTTTCTTTGCTTTTTAGTGTTTTGTTAACCTGTATCATGTCCCCCCTCAATCATCTCTTTTCTAAACTGACTAGGCCTAACCTCTTCTCATATGGATGCCGCTCCATATCACTAATCATTCTCATTGCTATTCTCTGTACCTTCTTTAATAACCTTCTTTAATTTTTCTATATCCTTTTTGAGGCATGGGGACCAGAACTAGGCACAGTATTTAAGGTATGGATGCACCATGAATTTATAAAGAAGAATAATGATACTTTCTATTTTATTTATAATTCCCTTCTTAATAATTCTGAACATTTTGCTTGTGTTTTGAATGGTTACTGAGCACTGAGCTGATGTTTTCAGCGAACTGTCCACAATGACTCCCAGACCTCTTTCCTGCATGGTAACAACTACTGTACTGCAGAGCCCATCATAGTGTAGGTATAATTTGAATTATTTTTGCTCATGTGCATCACTCTGCACTTATCTACATTGAAATGCACCTGCCATTTAGTTGCTCATTTGCTCAATAGTGCCAGAATCTTCTGTAGTTCCTTAGGCTTTTTTATTTATTACTTCTGTAATTTCACCATTAAACCATGCTGGCTTCCCCTTGGTCCTCTTTCAGTTTTTTTAAATTTGCAGCATACTTCTGCTCTGTGGCTCCAATGCAGTGTCCTTAAGCAGTTCCCATGCTGCCTGCAAGTTCTTCACCTGCATAGGGCCCCCTTTAGACTTCTGTCTAACTAGCTTCCTTCTTTTGGTATAGTCTCGCTTTCTAAAGTTAAAGGTTACTGTGATAGATTTTCTTCTTGTCTGTCCCCCGACATGGATTTCAAACTCAGTTGCATTGTGGTCACTATTGCAGAAAAGCTCGGTAACACTTCCCCTTTGCACCAAATCCTGTGCACTGCTTAGGACCAGATTTCCTCTTGAAGGTTTCAGGACTAACTGCTCCAGGAAGCAGTCTTCTATAATGTAAAGAAATTTGGTCTCTGCATCCCGGCCTGAGGTTAGATCGACCCAATCCACTGAGGTTAGATTGACACAGATGCTGATTTTACAGGTGCTTAGGCTCCAGCAATGATGAAGAGGAGGAGGAAAAAGAGTGTCTGCAATCTAATGACAGTACACATTGGAGGAGCAGCAGCCTTACAAGAGTGAGCTTGAGCCCAAGCAGAGCAGCAGCATCCAGTTGGAAGCAATCTAAGAGGGAAATCTGCCTGGACCACAAGGTGCTGCCCTGTCTAACAGCAAAGGGCAATTTTCCCACAGGAGAGAGGGGTAGCAAATGTATTACAGATGGAAGAAGCCCTGGGTGCCCTATGTGCAGTTCATTGCAGGTGGCTTTTAACAGAGCTGCTGGGATCCCACAGAAGGTTTTGAGATGTCAAATCATTCCCTGTTATGCACTGGGATGAAACCAAAACTGTTCCACATTTTATTGCGAAGAAGCAAGAAATACCTCCCCTTCACGTCCAGGAATAGGCTCTGTGGTTAGGGCACATGCCTCTGATATGGGAGATACTGGCCGTTCCAATGAATATTTAATTATCTGTGCAGAGTGCAACTGGAGAAACTGAGGGTGACTTACCCCAGAACAGCCAATAAAGCACTCACCTGCCATGTGGAAAACTGAGGTTTGAGTCCCTGCTTTGTATCCGGATCTCTCTTCCACAATCCTGGTGAGTGTGCTGACTATTGGCTATTCTCGGTGCAGGGGTCTTTCTGGTTTTGAGCTGAAAATTCCACCCCGGATCCAAGAAATGCTTCCTGTTAAAACTGATATGAATGTCCCTGCAAGCAAGTACAGTTCTGATAAAAACTGATTCATTTGAAAATTCCTAACCAGCTCTGCCTTCTGCGGAGGAATCTGTTTTTTTCTTTTTGATCTGTGTGCAGCATCATGGTGGCCAGCGCCTGCAGAGAACATGGGTAAGGGCACCTCTAGCTGCGATGGAAAGTGGGGTGCACTGCCCTGGCCTGCACCTGTCCGCCCTGGCAGCTCCATTCCATAGGAGTGCATCCCCCCGAAGCGGCTCTATTGCATGAGGTGTATCCCCCCCAAGGCAGCTGTATTGCATGAGCATGCATCCCCAACCCCAGCCTATCAGGAGCCAGGCTCACCATCACTAGTCACACCTCACTCAGGATCCTCTTGCTTTCCCCACCTCCCCTCCCTCTTCCTCCAGCCATGGGACAAGTAGTGCACCTCTCACCCCCCACCCCCTCCCAGCATGGACCCCTTTCCCTCCAGGGGTGCAGAGCAGGAGGAAACAGCTGGGCAGAGGTGAAGGCAGCCCCTTGGCAGCTGTGGCTGCTCGGCTTCTGGGGATTGAGTAAGGAAACCCAGGCAAACTTCTCCCTCCCTTTGCACTGGCTCTCTGCAACCCACTCTTCTCCCCTCCCCGCCCCCCA